CCCCCCCCCCCCCCCATGTTCACAATGAAACAACGTTGAAAACATTGTACGACTAGAAAACATAAAGAAAAGCCAAGGAAAACTTAAGCTAACAAAGAAGCGAGCCTTGAGAAAGTCATCAACTGAACCGGAAGATAGAATCAAAGAGAGAGTCTAGCGTTGCACAGGGACCACTTCAATATCTCCATTGTGCTGATGTGTTCTTTCCTTTCCTAGCAGACAAAAAATGCACTTAGATTCATCCAGGCCCTCAATAGGTGCTGTTCCCTACCTCCATTGTGCTGATGTACGGTCTTTCCTCTGCCGGCAGGGCAAAGGATTCTCTTAGATTTGTCGGGGCCTTCAACAGGTACTTTCACGCCTTCAAAGACCAAAAGAGCAAAGGCATGAGGTTGCCACAATGGATGTGATAACTGTGGTTTTAGACCTTCCTGGATGTGATAGTCCTGCATAGCGTGAACTTTGATTTGTCTTTAGGTCTTTATTATTAGACTTTACATATATATTGTCACATAACTATGAACTAAACGAGTGCACTTTGTGACAAGCGGTAAAGATTAAAAAACAGGTTGTTTGCATCACTATCTTGGACTCACCGATCTTTCTTCTGCTGGTGATAGCTAGTCCTCACAACGCCTGTGGTAACATTGAGGGGACCCAACCAGATTTGCATTGCTGCAGGCCCCTCGATGTCACCACACAATGCCAGCCAAAGAAAGGTCAATGAGTCCAAGACAGTGAGATAGCTATCCTTCATTCTCTTATGGGACAGAAACCTTTCACCTGCATTTATGCACAATTGCAATCAGATACATCCATGAAAGTCAGGGTGCGAGTACGCCCCTTACGCATTCAGGTCTATAAATATTGTGCTTTCTGGAGCTTTTGCGAGTACAGCTATGTGGCTGACTGTGAATGAACTTTTCAATTCCGAATGTGGCTGTCGATGAGACTAGGGGCCTCGCTGCAGTACTCTCCAAATGTGCAAAATGAGATTGAATCGGCCACTAGAACATGGAAAGATACATCGCCATCTTTTTTCTTTTTTGTGCATGTGTAGAGTATTCCAGCGAGGCCCTATGTTCCCTGGACTATCCGATTCCACATGCCGCGGTCGATGGCACTATGTTCCCAGCAGAGTGTTGAAGCGGAAAATAGTAGGGAGACGAACTCTGTGGCTGTCCTGTTCTCCACTACCCCATTTTCATAACCCTTTCGTGAACCCAAAGAGGAGATAATAGAGGTAGTGAACTGGGTTAGGTGTATGATCAGCATCAAAACTAGCCATAATGATTGCAAGAATATGGAGATGACATCTGTGCACATACTTTTTGATGATTACGACCTCCCATTGTCAGGGACAGCATCTTGTGGTCACCCAAGCCGGGGACCAACAGCATTACTTGATCAGCCCCCTTCTTCTGCTTCTGCCCTGCCTTCTGCTTCCACACAAGTAAACGAAGGCTTAATGACCACAAACCTGCGGTAGCCCGTCCCCTCTCAGTGACGTGCTGATCTTGTACACCATACAAGAATGGGCTTCTCATCTTCGACGTGTTCCTATAATTGGGGGAATTCAGAGATCCCAAATCAGTGTCCAGTGCACTTATGCCACTTGACCTTTCCCCGCTTTCATGCATGATCCGGACAGACAAATACTGTACGCCAGATGCAGTAACGGCAAGAGGCACTTTCCGACCATGTCGCACAGCTCTGATACTGCTCTGCTGCCCTCCCTGCGAACCCGTTCTAGCTTCCAGATCTTGGTACAGGGCATTGTGGATCAAGAATGGAGGCCACACCATGACCGTCAATTCCTTATTGACCGGGGCATTCAGAAATGACATCTGGCACCAGAGGAAATTCGGTCCAGCGGGGACTTCATCGCTCTCATTGCCTACTGTGGTGTCCCATTCTACAACCTTTTCCGTCGAGACCAATAACGTTGAGATTTGTGAAACCCCAGTAAACTCTGGCAGGTCAACCCATTTTGACCACATTCCATCACCACCCAAGCAGAAACTGAGCTGTGGCTTCGTGCAGCCTTTGTCTGCAATGCCCTGGACTGCATGACCTCCAGCATTTACCTGCAACCTTTGTAGTGAAGGCCCTGGAATGAGGCACAGAACTCTTGTGCAGTTCTTCTTACTTCCACTTTCTTCAGAATGTGAAGGAACTTCTATCACTCTCTCATCCATCTGAAACAGTGGCCGCTGCATGAAACATGATTCAGGCGAGCCCTGACCGGTGACAGTGAAAGCCTTCCTTTTGCCAGTCGGTCCTATGCCTTCATTCCGAATTGACTTCGGTTCACTTGCAAGTTTCCTTGGGTGCTCTGTTGGCAAGAATCCTCGAAGCTTAACCAAGAGCGTTGATGCTGTGTGGTTAACGATCCGCTGACCCGGTTTAATAACGACAGACACCATCATCCTAGGCCCTCGACGCACCTCAATAACAACCCCCACAACCCCTTCTGTTCCTAAAGGCATTCCCCTATGCACGACACCTTCGTCGTCAATGGAAAATGGAGGAGACCAACTGCTCTGGTTCATCGAGTTTGCATCTCTCCTCTCACTCCGACAAATATCTTTGCCCCCTGCAATGCCACTCTCGAACAAGGGCTCAGCTATGCGTATACGAAGACTCGTTCGGCCACTCGGATGCAATGAGGGAGGCACAGCCCATGTATACGAGCATGATGTTTCTGCCTTGAGCAACACACCTTCTCTCGTTCCATCTTGACCAAAGACGATGTCCACAGGACATTCATTCTTCACTGTGTACCCAAGGGAGCCATTCCCTTTCCATCCACTGCTGGTGATCGCCGTGTTGCCAGGGCTCTGGACATTGTTTCTTTGTCTCGAGCAGAGTCCCACCATGCGCTGCACCTCAACTATTGCAGCATCCTGGACCCGAATGGACATCTCGCCATCCACATTCACTCGGATTCGAAACCCTTCCTTGGTGGGCAAGATCTCATCGCTTCCAATCTCCATGGGTCTGCTATGGTCGCCCACGCCCTGGCCTTCAGCAGTCCAGGGGACTGTTGTTTGGCTGCCACCTGTGCTTGAAAGAGGGATCGAAGCCGGTTCTGCAACTTCCATAGAAGTCTCTATTACCCGCATCTCAAGAACGGATGAGAGGTGACAAGGTTCCACTGCGGTTTCCTACACACAACCAAATACACCATGTCAGTTGGAGGTCCCACAAAGTAACCACCGAACCAGTTCAAATCTGTGTGTTGTTAGGCAGCATGAAATATGACACCACGGACTAGCATGCAAACACCCAACTTGCAAACCAGAGAGATTTAGCGGTCACTGACTTTTCTGCCAGATATACCTTTGGGAGGCCCAACGGTCAGCTACAGATCAAGAGAGGCGGGTGGAGGTTGAGGGTTCTAAATGCCAAGATGCTTAGATAGCTAACACTGCCTAACAGCAGCCATTCTAAGGATACCATGGGGCTCAAGAGAGATGGGGGGAGGTCGCAACGGATATCTGAAGCCTTGTACTTGTTCCCTCTGATCATTTACGAACTTATTGGCACTTCCTCTCGTCTTACAAGGAGCACGACAGCAGATAGATCCCTGTGCTTATTAGCTTTCCTGATATCTCAACTTTCCTGATATCTCAACTTTTCCACATTGCTGCTTCTTAATTCAATCATAAAATGTACTGGTGTTCTGGAGTAAAAAGCAGGAGCGGCAAGAGTATGAATATTGCTTGTTCTTAGTTCAATCATAAATGTACGAGCGTCTTGGAGTGAAAAGAAGATGTGGACCCTGTGGCACGAGCAGAAACATTTCCCATCTGGGCCCAGTATTGGAAGGTCAGCACAGACCGGTTCATGTCTCAACAACCAAGAGCATTATTTGCTTCAGTCAATATGGATGCGCTTGTTGAGCTCACATGGCTACAAAGACTTGAGAGTCAAGAGAAATAAACGTGTTCAAATGGTACACAATGATGTTAATGTTGACGAACAGCTCATGATCTCAAAGCCCGGTCAAGCCAGACAGATTCAATAATATTAGGGGCTACTAACAAGGACTTCACAGCGAGGGCAAACATGTGTCTTCACAGCTTACATAAAACTGTTTCTACACCAATGATGAGTTCCTGATGGCATCAGAGTGGATTCAGTAATGTTGGGGGTGCCATCTTCAGGTTAACAAAAGAAAAGTGCACCAATCAGGGCTGCTTGTAGAACATACATAAGTACCACAGGCTCGATGCAGGAATTCTCCCTTCATCATCCCTGTATAAAGCATTCTCCAGACCAACGGTGACCACATGAGAAAGTCCACCTTCACTCCCTGACCCTGGATTTGAATCACTTCCAACGCCTCTCCTTGCTCTGGTCTTTCCATGAACGCCACCTGCATATACTGGGCCTTCAAATCCATCCTCAAGAATGGGACCACTGCTGTGCCATCCCACACTTTTTGATCGTATGTGGCTGTTGTCGGATTCACCTCCACCATCTTCAGAATCTCAATGGCCGTCACGAATCCTGATCCTTGTCCAGTTTCCGCACAATCGCCCCTTTCACTACCTGGCATCCTCCTGTCCACCTGAATGGCCCACGACAGCAGCCATTCTTCAGCGCTTATCGGCCTTGATGTGCTGATCACAATTCGCTGCCAATCTTCAATGCAGGCAATCGCTAAAGGGGCTGCCTCCACGAATCTACCCAGAGTCCTGTCAAAAGCAGACAACTGGAGGTAAATCATTGTGAGAGACCGGCTCTCGTCCCTCGTAACATCACTGCTCGCCACTTTCATCTCCTTCCGAAGGCTTCCAGTTATCGTGACAAGTCCCACATGTCTTTCAAAAGGGTACCTGAAGACAGACGCAAGCGGCCACATCCCTGTTACTCTTGTCAGCGTTGTCACATGTTTCGATCAGAGCAAACAAATTGTCAAGATCAACACAAGTCATACCAAAAAAGGGAAGAAAAGAAGTTCACAAAAAAAAAAAAAAAGAGAGAGCGAGAGAGCGAGAGAGCGAGAGTGCGCGCGCGCGCGCGCACAGAGAGAGAGAGAGAGAGAGAGAGAGAGAGAGAG